TAGTCCGCGCGGAGAGGAAAGAGGAGACGCCGCGGTGCGCACTGACGAGCCCGGAGAGCGCCACCGATACAAGCAACCAGCCAGAGGAGCAGGAGAGAGAGAGGGAAGGAGGGAGAGAGAGAGAGGGAGAGAGAGAGAGAAAGAGAGAGAGAGGGAGGGGTGAGATTGGAGGGGGTGGGTGGTTGGAAGGGCTTCAATCCTCGTTCATCGTCTTTGGATCTAACAAAATGATTTGGAATTTGGAGGCAGATATTCTCCGACACAGAGACGTCCTGAATGGACTCTTCAAATTGTGCACTTTGGAATTGTAATCTTTGTTTGTATACACGTCTACATCACATTTCAATTGCTGATTTATCTAGACGGTCAACAATTTGATTTGTTTAGTATTTTGGATCAGTCAGGCAAAAGGGATTCTCTGTTCTGAATACTCAGGTATTGACCAATGGAGATTTGATTTGATGTAGTCCTCTGAAGGATTAGATAGTGAATCCATACCTCTACAAAGGAAACTCAGGATGAAAATAGTTCATCAATACATAATCAAACAAAACAGATAATCTGAACTGGGAGTGTCACTCTTTGGGAATATGGATGACTCCTGATTAACAAAATCTCCCAGTGATGACAGTAAGCTGTCAGCAACCCTCCCTAAAGATTGCACTGGATTTTTATTGTTTTCATTAGTGTTAGGGGTAAGATTTGCCTAATTTCTCTCATATAATGAATGGATTTCAAAGAGCCCCAGTTGCCCGATAAACAATTAAAGGGTATGAGTTTAATATTAAAGCTGCAAAAAGCTAAATCAGGCTTTCATACCTCCAGCCGCATTTAGACTTTGAGGTGGACATGTGCTCCTAAAGCCCAGTTTTCTCCTGCCATGCGGTTCTCATCTGGCTGGGGGGGGGGTTTCCTCTCCTAGTGCCAAATGAAAAAACTCTGACAATCCCACTGACATTCGATGGTCTGTATTAAGACATATTCCACAAAAGGAGCAAGTCGGAGTGGCTTAATTTAGTTTCATTTTTTCGACCCTTCAAGCAAGACCTCACTGGTGCAAATATTGATGGATATGCTCCACGTCCACATTTTTCTAACTTCAACTATCATGATTGTGCAGCTGACTCCAACCCACCTCTGGTCATAGTAAGAAGTCCAAAGTACGTGGTTAGGTTTAGGCCTTCAAGTATACAAGCTGAAAGTTTCTGTAGTTGTTCATCTTTTTTAGTAATGATCTTAATAGTAATAGTTAGCTGGTATGCTAACCCTAACCCACACTCTGGAAAAAGTTATATGAAATTTAAAAATGTTCTGAATCCTAAAGAAAATAATTTTAAAAAGCTTTTTATCTCTGACTGTAACAGCATATTTAATGACTCATACTTGGTCATTAAATAGCCCATCTGGCCCATAGTTAGCTGTTTCTTATTTCACTGAACATAACATTTAAACGAGAAATCCTAAATCAGATCTCAAAAAGTTAAATGTTAAACAATTCAATATTAAGTTTGAGGTTCACAAGAAATATTAAAAAATAATAAGAAAAAATAAGTAATATTAAAAAAATATATAAAAATAACAGTACAAATTAAACAACACAGGGAATGTTTCCTCCCTAAAGAACCGTAATGAACCAAATTCCAGCTCAGTCTAATGATTAAATTAGATACAACTTTGAAAGAGCTAAGTCTAAAAAAAAAGAACAGCAATTATTTTATTAATTAGCCAAGGACACCACGCATTAAAAACAAAAAATCTGGAACATTTTAAGGGGAGAAAGTAAAGTTTAAAAAATGTCTCCACCCAAATTCACAGGTCTTAAATCCGTCCTTTCATTCATTTTGAAAATCATTGTGGATTATGATGATAGCATTTCAGAGACTGCTCTGATCCTGATGAAACGTCAGCTGTGTCTGAAAATAAGTAAATACCTATTTGAAGAATGTATGAGCATTAGTTCTCAGAGTAATGGTTTTGTTATGTCAGCAGAAGGCTGATTTGTTCCATCTGATGAATGCGTTTTCATGGCAACGTTTCTGTAATGACGTGAGGACACTGAGGAAATAGAACGATACATCATATACTTTCTTTCACGGGCTTTTTCCCACAGAGTCGTGAGACCGTGATAGGATTTGGGATGGAGAATCGGGCGGCCAGGTTGAAGTTCAAGCTGAGAGTAACAATGATGTATGATTCACCCTCTCTTCTGATTGGCTCCTGCTAGCCGGCTCCACTAATGCAGCACGGATCGGCAGTTTAACTCAGATACCACACTCTGAACAGGATCTTTAACTCATTTAGTCCAAGATATCACATCTTAATATGATAAATCTGTTCACAAAGACACAATGAGTGGGTGCAGCTGTCTGGAGCTCCAAAAAATGGCCGCACAGGGCCCTGGATCCACGTAACAAAGGTGCCCGGTCTGCTGTATCAGCGCATGCTTCTCTGTAGATTTCGGCCGGCCTATGAGAGACCTTTGTGTTTGTGTCTCATTGATACTTCGCTCTGATGAAAGAGCACCCAGTGGGGGGCATTATGGCTAATAGAGAAGGAGCTGGGAGCACTGAAAGAGAAAAGCGGAGTGCATGAGGCTTGAATAAGAGACTTATAGTATGGGGGTGTCTCCCGGTTTCATGGGGTTAAAACTTCGGCTCTGTTCAAGAGTGCACTTGAAAGGATGAGCCATTATTTATTTATCAGCGTGGCATCTCCCAGATACGTGGGAGTTGAGATGCTCAATATGCTCTCAATTAGTCTGTCTACTGTATGTGCATGAGCCGGCTTACATAAAGCACTGCAGGAATAAAGACGCTTCTGCCATGAGACAGCAAAGCAGACATGAAAAGAGAGGGCGGCCAATCACGAGGAGTCTTTGCTTCCACTTCTGCAGATGCCTGGCGTCATTTAGCAGAGGCTAATTCTTCATATATGATCCACATACCACCAGAGGACGTGTTGAGGGAGGGAAAAAAAGGACAATAAGGTGGGTTAGGATTCGAGGAGGGTTAGAAAAATCTTCCAAAAGCATGCATCTGTGTGTGGATAATATGGAAGAATGTGTCAGAACGCTCTCGATGGGCCATTTCCCGCTGGTTAACAACACAGTGGATATAAACCGAAGCCCCATTTATTAGACCGTTCTACTTTATGTTCGCAGTAATTCAAGATGACGTTTGAGAGCAGGCCTTCGATCCATTCCCAATGTTCACCTCCGGCAGGTTTGTCCTCGGCATGAGTGATATTCTACAGAAAACACAGAGTCTGAGGGCTGAGCAGCAAGAGCTGTAGAGCACTGCCCTCATCTGGGCAAATACAGCAAACATCTAAAAGATGGATTTTAGAACTACAGGTGATTTATTTTTGCTTTCCCTTTCTCTTTATGGCCTAAAATATTCATAGGACAGGACACATGAAGGAACAGGCTTGACCAAGGAAATACAAATCCTTCTGAACCTTTCATTTATGCATGCATACAGCAGTTTACAACATTAGTGCACATGCTAGCACCTTTGCAAACATGAGCCAACGCTATGAGGTCAACCAAATCTTTAAAAAGGGGAATGATATTGAGAAACGTATTAATTATTAAGTTATCGGTTCTTTTTAGCATTGACAGAAACCCCTTTTGGATGTGTGAAACCTTTAGATTCTCACCAGGAGCTACATTTAAATAATAATGCCACCAGCATATTTAAAGGCACATTGGTTCAAGAGCACCTAGAGGAAGATTTCCCTGAGCAAGATCCCCTTCTGGATCCAGGGTTCAAGCTAAAATGCTGCTGTGTGGATCTTTAATGGATCTTTCTCGTCTTATATCAACACAGAAACATCTGGGTCGAAAAGACATAACAAGGACAACAAGAAAAAGATTCAGCCTATTTGCAGGATGTTAATTTCTTCCAGTCATATGTAGAAATTAAACTATCCTCCTGAGACCCGGCCCATTCATGTATGTCCATTATAGTGGACATTTTGTCCACCTTTACCCCCCTCTAAGTATCTGGAGTTACCCTATCAAGCCCTATAGTGTTCTGTAGAGGACATCCTGGGCTTTCCAGTGATGTGCCATGTGATAGGTTTGCATGCTGGGAACTTTTTTTCCTAAGAGTTCTTAGGTAAATATCCCTTTCAAGACAACTTCTTATTTATTATTTAATTATCTAAAGCCTGTTTTATTTTCCCATGCAAATCGTCCTGTTGTCCTCCACAGTGGACATGCTATGACATTAAAATTAAAAATATATTTTTTTAAATTTAAATTGTAATGTTCTTTTTTAGGTCCAAATACATGGAAAATCACAACAAAAAAGAAATTTGAAGACACTTTTTTTCTTTGGGTCTCAGGAGGCTATGTAGAGATGTGTCAAAAGAACCTGGACTTCTATGACTTTCTTTATGTGCACACATGAAACAATATTATGAGGGGAATGAGACCTACAAAAGGGGAACTTAAGTGTCCACTCTCCAGTTCTGTGCGCCCCCTGCTGGAATTCTCCAGTTACTACTTCTACCACCACTGAGGCCAACTCCAGCCATTCATTATCCATGCTGCTTAGTCCTAGAACGGTCGTGGGGGGGCTGGAGAGGCAGGGTACACCCTGTGTAGGTCTCCAGTCCATCAAAGGGCCACACAGAGACAAACGGAGGGGGCGGGGCTTAATGTTTACTCAAAGAGCCATATAATTTTCTGCCATGACACAAGCTGGAAAAATCAAAGATCGAACTCGATGCCAACGTTGTGAGATCAGCAGTAAGACCCCAGACTTCATTATGTATGAGTCGAAAATGTATGAAGCATCGTGATGAGGAGGAGAAACAACAAGCAGCTTATGCTGGGCGAGAGGGGAGGCTGGTTCTTCTGAAGAACTGCAAAAGTT